GCTTTTTAATCCTTCGTTGATTGTTGGCTCTTCCTCTTTATCGTCTGTTTTTTGTTTAAATTAGAATTTGACAAAAGTTGCTCATACTTTGCCTTTGAAACTAGAATTAGTTCTCTAGCCATTTCAGGTAGTTTACAAAAAATATGGATAGTACCTTACTCAAAGCTAGCACTCTCTGTCGTCGCTGATGTCGACTTATGCCTTTGGCTAGCACTTTAGGTATGCTCACTTTATGTTTAGACAACTTTTTTTTTTCATCTCCGGTTAGTAAAATGTTATCTGCTGCTATATTGTATATAATTTCTGTTAGAAACTTGAGTTGTTGATCGGTTAGCGCTAAACAAATCACCTTCTTCTGCTTGTCTGAAGCCGTCAACCAGAATTCGATTAAACCTTTCATTTTTTTTTGGATAATATAATACCGTGTCAACACTCCAGGCAAAATTCTCGTGCGAAGTGGAGGTACTATCTATGATGTGTCGATTATATTTACATTGTGGCTCAAAGGTGATACATCGATCAGTAAGTAACCAAATCTGTTTGATGTTGCCAACAGATAGGCTTCTCTGAAGTAGGCATTTTGTCTCGGAAATATTTGTCGTCCGAGAGCCTTCACTTGTGATTGATCTCGATAATTTTTGAAGAAAATAAAATACTGCGTGTTGAGACTAAGTGTGCGCATGACCTTTCCTTTTTGAAAAACGTTCTGCACTAAAAACATCACCGTGAAATTTTGATGGTGAGATTTTACACAAAACATCTTCATTAAATGTGGACTGTCGACACCTTCTGCCATACAATCGTCGATCACTAGCAACTTGTGCCGTCGATTTCTCCCCATTCCTCAAACTGATTCTCGTTTGGTAGTCCTTGGTGAAATGTTATTTTCTTTAGATCATTACGTAACTCGTCAAACATGGGTTGCCACGTATCATAACAGAATAATCTTAATGGGTGCTTCCCTAAACATACCATCGGCATGTTCTAGTAAATGCTTAGTTAAAAATGTCTTACCACTTCCGCTTGCTCCGCAAACCATGATTCTACACGGTGATTGGAACTCGACCAAACTCTCCGCGACGTACCACTCCATCTTTGAAATAAAAAATGACTACACATACACAAAACATGACTATATACATTCTTTATTAAAATTTAGATGGCAGCACAACAACTCTGAATTTTATGGTAAGAATTAACATGACGTGGTAATGCATTTGATATGAAATCATGAACGAAATGGTCGTTTTCTATATAGTTATATCCAAACTGATTCACGATAAAGTTCATAGATATGCCTCTACATCTATTCAATAGATAATACAAACAATATTGCCCACAAACGTTGGAAGCATTACTCTGTAATCGCTTATTGTTGTATGCATTTGCCTTGAATGAATAGTATTCTGACATATGTCAATAGCTATCGAAAAAATTCGACATAGCTTTTTGATTCCATGGTAAAAGCCAACCAATGTCTTCCTGGACGGCCGCTCGGGTCTGTGTTGACAATGAATCCGCAGGGGAAACGGTTTATCATGTGAGGTATCTCGTCTCGAGCATACACTCCACTTGCAACTTTTCTCATCACAGGGTCTGAATTTATTGCATCAAGAAGCTGACGAGTGTTCATGGCGATACAACGTCTCTCGCAGTATTGATTTCAAAGTAACCAGGATATTCGCAGTAGATGATGCAGGAACCGGCTTCCGTTAACGCAGACCCAAACTTAGTCTCTAACCTGACGTTTTCTTGTTTGATCAAGGAAAGATATTGACTCGTTCTGAATGCTGGTTCTAGGTCAAAGGTGTAAAGGGAATAGCCCTGTCCAATATCGTCTCTCTCTAAATTCAACCCTGTATCACTCAAACATTTTCCTGTAGATTGTAGCATACTCCTCAGTACAGGATTGACGGTCTGTCCACCATTTTCACTATATTTTAGCTTCAGGGGATTACCTCCGACGGGTATACCATCTACGTAGAGTCCAATAGATGAAATGGCATAGGACTGAAAGAACCAGGGGTTTTGCTCGTAGCTACCTGATACGCTGATAGCATTTACAAATCTAACTACGACTAAATTCGGTCTCTTGCCCTGAAATATATTGTCATAGGTAGAACCTGCTTGAATGGTCATCTGCTTGATGAGAGTCTGAGTAAATGGATATTTGGCATTGGTCTGCTGGAGAGCTTGGCTCTGAGCATATATGACGGCAGGGTTGACTTTGACTTTACTCACGTGCAGACGAATATCTTCAAACATCACCTTATCTGCATCCATGCTTCCTTCATCGTTTTGCCCCCATAGCTGTGTTGACAATTGTGACGTTTTAGCGTCCTTTCCATATTTCAATAAAGTTTGCATGTAGGCTTTGTAGGCATAATGGTTTGTGGTTGATACGACAGTTTTCCCTTGTAAAGTAATGTCCACTTGTGAAAACAAAGAAGGCAGAAATAAATGTATGGTTCCTACATCTTCCGTATTGCTTATCGCAGTTCCATCTCCTTTAACAATTTTAACTTTTGCATAGACAAGGCTGTTCTTTAAATCCAACAATTCTAATCCGTTTTGACCGGAAACCACAAATTCTACAGGTGAATCGCTGCTAATTTGTGAAATGGGTAGGACGTCCTGATAATACACATGCTCGACTGCCGTTTGTGTCGGTGGGAGATCAAACAGAGCCAATTCTGATGGTTGCGCTTCTCTAAAAAAAATCCTTGTTTATCGTAGCCATTGTGATATGATACTTTTACCCGTCTTCTTTGTCTTTTTAGATTGTTTTTCTTTGAATGCCGCTTCTTAGTTGACTTTCTAAAACTGCTCCTGATCTGCTTCTTTTTTAAAATCGATTTACGCCTTTTTAGCTGCTTCTTAGTTGTGGAGGTGTGAACTCGGCGACGCTTTGCTGTCAAATGACGATTAGATGAAAAAAACTATGCCTTTTGAACTCAAACTTTGCTTGTTCGACGACTTGTTGTGCTGGTGACACCATGTTAACATCAACGTCTCGTGCTGGTAGAGATTTTTCTCCTTCGCTATTGGTTTTGTCTATCGGAATCATCAACTCGTTCAAATTCTGTAATAGACCTCCTCCCCATTGCTTCACGTTCCTGTTCACATTGTTTGCATATGCATTTTCCTTGCCTTGTATTACATCTTGGTAATATTTCATCCACTTCCCCACGTTGGGAACATACATCTTTGAAACATTCATGTTAAGAACGGAAGCTGCTTAAAGTGGAGTGTAATCGTCACTCGCCCTTTTAAGAATGAAGCCAGTTCCCCTTTGCCAGTCTTTATATTGATTTCTATGTCTCTGATTCCAGATTTTCTCACAGGAACGTAGAATGGGTTATTAAATGTCTGTGACCAGTTTCCAACTCTCAGCGCTCTCGCCACTCGCAGAAGATTTTCCTTTTCTCCATCGACAAAACTTTCAC